TGCAAAAACGATAAAAGTCTGAGGGGATAGAGGCTCTAAGTTAAAAACAGTAATAAATGATAGATAATTAGATCAGATAAGATCTTAGTATCTTAAATTTTATCAAAGATATGATCTTTTTAAAGAAAGCTGTTATGTTACTTTTAAGAAAAGATTAGTTAGCAGCACTAAATTTGATAGGATTTTCTACAAGTGCTTAAGAATTAGATTTTAAAAATATTCACTCAAATGCCTAACTAAGTAACTAATTAATTAATTATCTATCAAATTATTATAGATATATTATATTTATTAATATTAACATATAAAAAGAATAAAAATTAAGTTATTATGAGATGTAATATGCTATTATGTAATCTGAAAAATTGTAGCAGCATTAATTGGAAAAGTTTCTTAAGAGATGCCAAAATAATTAAAAAATAAATGATATCGATGAAAGAATTTTAAATTCTTTATTATAAAATTCAATTTTTTGATAGTCTTGTTTGTAGTTTATTTTTATAATTATGAATTTTTTATATAAAAATATTTATAATTTTATATTGTCTCTATGTAAAAGCAAAGATTTACTTTCAATTTTTATAAGTTATTTAAATATCTTTTTTATCATAACAGAACAAATTGATTGTCTTATATATTCAAATTAGTTAGAATTTTATTTAAAATTTTTTTAATTTTATAATGATTTATTTAATCCAATAAAAAGTAAATAAATAAATAAATACTTAAAGATACTTTTTTTATTAATAATCATCAGATATTTTATTTTTATTCTTTGATTTATTTGTAATTTTTTGCAAGATTTTAACCTAAGATTTCTTTATTTTTTATTTTAGTTTTTTGTTAATATTGCTATTCTCGGATAATTATTTCTGTAGTAGGAAATAAATATTTAGTAGAATAATAAATATTATTTAAAAAATTTAATGTATATTTAAAATAATAAAAAAAGGTATCGAAAGAGGTTTCGAACCTGAACTAACAAAAATATGGCACTTTTTTTTGAGCAAAAAGATACTTAGGGAATGCCTTAATTAATGAGCATTTACAGTATTTAATATTCAAATATATTTATAAATATTCATATTTTTTTCACAAAATTTTATTATATGTTATTTATAAGACGACTAATCTTTTTGATTTGAGGCACTCTGTTTTCAATTACTTTTAATTCTTCATTTGAGTCCATCTATTTCTTATAAATTAGGGTAAATTACAACAAAAAAATAAATAGAATAAAATATTTTATAAAAACACAATAAAAACAAAGAAAAATAAATAGTAAAAAAAGCCAATAAGAGTTAGTTATATTTTTAATTAAACTTTTTTTACTTAAAATTAAGTGTTAAATTTTAGATATTAGTGCACTTTCTTAAACCAGAACTTAAGCCTTTAGTATATTCATAATTAATAAAATAGGACCTTTTTAAATATTGAAGAAAAAATATTTTATTAATTAGTTAATTAAAAGGAAAAAAATGAAATCATAACAAATCAATTAAAATAAAAGCAAAAATTTAAAGTGAAAAATGAATTAAATTAACAAATAAATAAATAAAGAAAATATAAAAAAAAACACAAGCAGAATAAAAAAAAACCAAATCAAATAAAAGCTAATAAGTAAATAAATTAAAAGAGTTTGTTTTAGTGTTTTAAATTAATATTTTTTATCAAAAATATCACAATAAAAATAAATAAATTACTAAAACTCAAATATAAGTGTTAAATTTGAGAGTTTAGTGCATTTTCCTAAACCAGAGCATAAGTCTACTATACCTTCATCACGAATTTAATCGTCACTTTTTAAATATTCAAGATAAAATATATAACGAATTAGTTAGTTGGAAGAAAAAAATATGAAATAATAAGAAATGAATTAATAATAAAATAAAAAATTGAAAATGAAAAAATAACTTAAATTAACAATCTATCTAACATACAAACAAATTAAAAAAACAAGCATAATTAAAAAAAAATAAAAAAATAAAATAAAAAGCTTTTAAATAAATCATAAGAATAAGTTATATTGTATTAAATTCATTTTTATATTCAAAACAAATAAACTGTTTTTACTCAAGATAAAGTGTCAAATTTGAGAGATTAGTGCACTTTCCTAAACTAGAACCTAAGCTTGATGTACCTTATGGACCAATTAAATTGCTACTTCTTTAATATTGAAGAAAAAAATAAATATTTAATTAGTTAGTTAGTAAGAAGGAAAAAATAAAGAAAAAATATTAAATAATAAAAGCAATTGTTAAAAATAAAAAATGAATTATAGCAAGATGCCATTCAAAAATTCCGTCGTTTGCATGTGATTTATTATGAAATAGATTTATTAGTTATTTATTAAAAAATCTGATTTTTATATTTTATAATAGAATTAAAATTAATAATTTAATTTATTATAATTTCAAAAATAAATAATTTTTTTACATCAAAAAAAAAAATTTAAAAAAGAGTGTATTATATTTATTATTTATAGGCCAGAAGAATAGGCATGTATTAGATTAGATTAGATTCACTAAATTTTTGAATGGCATTTAGCTATAAATTAACAAACAAAAAAATAAATAAAAAAACAAAAAAACAAACACAATTAAAAAAAGAAAAATAAATTAAATTAAATTAAAAACTTTTAAATAAATTAAGAGTTAATTATATTGTTTTCTATTACTTTTTATGTTCAAAAAAAAAATATCATAATCAAAAAAATATAAACTTTTTTACATTAGATTAAGTGTCAAATTTGAGAGATTAGTCAAGTTTGGTAAAACAGAACCTAAGCCTGATACACCAATTGCACTTATTTTATTATTACCTTTTAAGTATTGAAGAATAAAAATATTGTTAATTAGTTAGTTAGAAAAAAAAAATGAAAGAAAAATATGAAATAATAAAAAATGAATTTATGAATAATAAATGCAAAAGTTGAAAATAAAAAAATGAGTTTTATTAAAAAACAAACAAACAATCCAAGAAAGAAAAAAAGAAAATACACAAGTACAATAATTAAAAATTTAAATAAATCAAATAAAAAGCTAATAAATAAATAAATAAATTAAAAGAGTTATTTAGTTATATTTTTTTCAACTCATTTTTATATTCAAAAATATCTTAATTCAAAATAAATAAATAAATAAATAAATAAACTGTTTTTACTAAAGATTAAGTGTCAAATTTGAGAGATTAGAGCAACTTTATATGCCAAAACCTAAGGCTAATACACCTTCATCATCAATTTAATTGTTACTTTTTAAATATTAAAGACAAAATATAGTTAATTAATTAATAAGTTAGAAGGAAAAAATGAAGAAAAAATATGAAATTATTAAAATGAATAGATAAGAAAAATAAAAATTGAATATGTAAAAATGAGTTAAATTAACAAAAAAGCAAATAAATAAATAAAAAAAATACAAATGATATTTTAAAAAAATAAATAAATCAAATAATAAGCTAATAAATAAGTAAAAAGAGTAAGTAATATTTTTTTCTACTAAATATTATGTTAAAAAATACTTGAAACAATATGAAACATTGCCAAGATCAATTGCCAAATTTGAGAGATTAGTGCACTTACCTAAACCAGAACCTAAGCCCTATGCACCTTCTAAACCGATTTTATTCATCCTTTTTAAATATAGAAGAAAAAAATTATTTAAAAAATTAGTTTGAAGGAAAAAATGAAATAATAAGAAATTAATTAATAATAAAATAAATAAATAAAAAATACTCAAGCAGATAAAAAAAAGAAAAATAA